TAATATTTCTCTGCTTTATATATATATATATATATATATATATTTTTTTATTTTTTTTATTTTTTTTTTATTTATTATTTTTTTTTAATTATTATTATTATTTTGTTTTTTGTGTGTGTGTGTGCAGCCTTTTTTTCAAGATTCTTTGACAAATATGAAATTTATTTGAAATATAAATGTTTTGTAATATTATAAATGCCTTTACTGTCACCTTTGAGGTATTTAATTTGTAAAAGTAAAAATAAAAGTTTTATTTTTATTATTTAATCTTTATTAAATAACTTTCAACCGGTAGTGTAAAAATGCTTGAAAAGTCGAATAAACATTAATTACATCTGGGAAATTACAAGTAGATTACACTAGTCTCTAAGGCTACGTTTACACGACAACAATGTAGTCAAAAACGGAAAAGTTTTTCCCTTACGTTTTTAAAAAGTTTCACGTATACACAACGTTTTCAAAACAATTCGCGTTTACACATATCCGCAAAAACGGCCAAAAACGCTGTATTACGTATGCCAGGCCAGTAGTTAGCACTGTCACCTTGTTAGTAAACAGTACCTGTAGAGAAGTGATGATTATATGTGGTATATGATGCGTCTTCCGCTGTTGGTTGTAATATTGGTGAAGTAAATCCACACTTTGCTGAAGAAGCGTTAGCAAACTCTTGAGCAGCAACAACAGTACCATGTACTCCGCCATTGTTGTGTAAAATCGTCATGTACTGCGCATGTCTACATACTTAACACGTACTAGGCACGCGCATGATGTGACCGTTTTCAAAGATTCACGTTTTGGGTGTTTACACGGAAATGATACCTATGGCGTTTTCAAAAACTTGCACTTTAAAACCCGTTTTCCAAAATATGCGTCTTCAGTCCCCAAAACGCTGTTGTCGTGTAAACGAACAGGCAAAACGCATAAAAAGTTTCCCGTATTTGGCTGAAAATATTCCGGTTCCTAGATATGGTTATGGTGCCTCCTTCAATGAGATATACTTTTATTCTGAGCTTCATTACTAAAGGTTAAGATTTTTGTAAAAACCCTAACATGAGTAATAATATGAGAGAAAGAAATACAAATATAACAAACTTACTCCTTCGTTTGCCCACTTCTCCCTTAGAGGTGGCAGCTTCATTCAGAAGGACCATTCCCATGGTGATGGCTGCATCTAAGAAGGAAGTCAAAGAAAGAACTGGCAGCTTGGATGTGGCTGGTTTGCAGAATAAACACCTAGGACCTGATATAATGCTTACAGAGTACCTGAAAAATTACTGATCGGTCTGGCAAAACAGCTTTAGCACAACTGGAAATTTCAATTACTCTGAACACAATGGAAACAAGACCCTCTTCAACTCTGAGCACACTTCACTCAGCTGGGAGGTCTCCTCTAGCCTGGGGGAAAGCTAGGTGTCGACGAGAGGAAGACAGACAAACATGAGGTGTTCTGCCAGCAGCCAGAAGCTCCCCTCTCCTCCAGCAGCCGAGCCAGACGGTAGCAGAGGGTCTCTGTCTGTCTGCTCACTCTGTACCCATCAGGCACAGTCAACAAACCCACATAATTACAGGGGAAGTTCACACAGAGAGCGACACTCGGGAGGACATACCCAACACGGCCAGGCGAGCAAGTGTACATAGAGCGTTTGAGAGTTTCTGAGGATAAACATAGAAATGTGTAAGAAGATTTCAGACAGCAGCACCTTGATGGATTTCGATAACCACTGACGAATAGACATGGCAAAAACATCTACTATCTGACTTTTTGACATAATATTTTTAGTTGACAAAATGTATATATTCTAAACAAATGTAAAAGTTTCAGTAAAATTTTGTAATGTTTTTAAAAGAAGTCTCTTATGCTTAACCAAGGCTGCATTCATTTGATAAAAAAAACAGTAATATTGTAAAACACTATTACAATTTAACTGTTTTATATTTTAATATATTTTAAAATGTAATTTATTCTTTAAATAATAATAATTAATAATAATTACTATGACTACTACTATTTGGAAACAGTAGCACATATTTTTTTCAGGATTTTTTATAAACAGAAAAGAACAGCATTTATCTGAAACAGCATTTGTAACAAATGTCTTTACTGACTGTCATTTTTTATTAATTTAATGCATCCTCGTGGAACAATTTCTTTCTTTCTTTCTCGTTCTTTCTTTCTTTCTAAATAAATAAATAAATAAATCTTACTGAACTCAAATTTTGAACAGTAGGTGTATAATTAACAATACAACAATATATTTCTGTGTTCATATGTTTTTGTCAGTACTACATGCAAATAAAAATAATTATTTTCCCATTTAATTTCATTCTTATTCAAGAAATAAAACATTTGTCAACTAAAATGTTCATCAGTAAATTTGTTGACAAGATTAGCATTGTTTTCCAACTTTTTTCCAGTCATATTTAATTAAAGAGAAAACAAACAAGTAAATAAAATTTAGCTGCACTGAAAAGGCTGGGGAAATGTACAAAAATTTACAGTGGCACATCCTACATTTTGAAACGTTACCAGAACAAAAACAGATCTGTATGAAGTTAGTGGGTTATTACGGTTCACTTCATTAACAGAACAAAGTGACAGGTCCATTGTGCAGAAAGAGGTTTTATGTGAAAGGATACTCAACAGAAGAATAATGTGAGATTCAGCCACAAACTGTGCTTGACTGCTGCCGTGGATATAACTCTGAAAAAGACAGAAAGAAAATAAGATGACAAACAAGCAGACAATAGACCTTTCAAGTTCTGCTTTCACACAGCTGTATCACTTTATCACTACTATATTATGGGTCTATGATAAGCAGTGCTTTATTGTATTTATCATACTGCAAATGCATGAACTCATCCCACACACACCACCACTGACTTTGTATTTCAAAGCAAATAAATAAATAAAATCATGATTCTTAGAAGGGAAAAGGTCAGTTAGAAAAGCCAAAAGACAAGGAAAAAATCCATAAGGTCAAAGCAGATGCATGGAAAGATGAAGGGATAATCTAGATAAAATCAAAAGAAAACCTGAGAATAAGTGACAAGAGCTTCAATGGGTCAATGAAAAGAGCACTGAAGCACTCTAACACATCAAGTCATAATGGCATCACTTGCTCTCTGGAGAGAAAACACTCTAGATATAGCATAAACAAGACCCTCATTCATCTGTGCTAGATGAATGTGCAGGAACAGTGCAGAGTTGATGCAGCTTCAATGAAAATCTGAAGTTTGCAGGCTTGAAAGCTTTCTAAAACTTCTCAGACTTCACATTTTGATAGATGAAATCTGCCAGTGAATTGCTTTAAAGAAAATCCCCAAAAACTGGGTGAACTAATTATTTCATCATCAATATCATCATCCTAGAGTCATTCCAAACTCTGGAATTTTCTTCTTTTTCTGCAAAACACAAAAGGAGAAATTTTGCAGAATGTCCATGCTGCTCTTTTCCATCAACATTAAATAAAGTATTATACAACATAAAAGAAGCCCTGTGAAGCATTGCAATTATTCTAAAGTCATGCAATAGATTTGTTTGAAAAACAAACAGAAACTTAAGTCTAAATACATCTTTTTTTGTGTTCGATGGGAAAGAAAAATCTGTTTGAAATATCTTGAGCGTAAAACGTTCTGTTAACTGAAAAAAAAAAATATAAAAAAATCAGCCAGTGCACCATTTTAACGTATAAAAGCTTCAAAACTTTAGAAACACAACGTATTCACTATTTCTACTGAGGTTACATATTTAAATAGAGGGTATAAAGCGATAATGTATTAGACTAACTTATAGTCTGAAAAACTAATTTCAAGGTGAGATGAACACATTCGTAAAGAACAATGTACACTATCTTATAGTTCAGGGGATTATTTATTTATTTATTTAGTCATAAAATTCAATAGGGACCACCTAGATACTGAAATCTGTCTCTGAATTTCATTATTTTGAATGAAGCCTGAGGACATTCATGTATGCTTTGATCAAATATGATAGATATGATAGATTTGAGTAGAAATCACTACTGAAGACAAAATATTGAACGCTTTTTATGTTCAGTGTGACACTAAATAAAAAAGTCAATAGTCAACTTGAACGCAGCAATAAAGTATTGAAGAACTAAACACTGCCATCAGCAGCTGTTGTCACTTGCAGCATTTCTTGTAGAGACAGAAAAAGAGAAAGATATGGGGGATTGTGGAAAGGAGGGAGCCATTAAGAAGAAGATATGAGCAAACAGGCCAGTGCATTTATCACTGTCATGTCACCTGTCGCCTCTGGGTTAACGCATCTGCTAACATTTAAACACAGCCATACTGCTGCATATTTTCATATGAAAGAAACCGCAATTTAGAAGCACTTTCAGCACTAACACAGAGAGACACAGCTGTATTATTCTACTGAAGTATCTGACATTGGGCATTTGCAATTTAAAAACAGTAATTTGCTACTTTTCAAAAAAAAAAAACACCCGCAAGTATTTTTACTTATTCATTCATTATTCACTCATTTTTTAATTTATAATTATTATTTTATTTGCATTTTTTTATTTAAATTTTATTTATTTATTTGATAAGGCAGTAAGAGGCCATGTCTAGAATATTAAGACTGTATAACACTTTAATTTATAATGATTTCATAATTTTATATATTTATATTTTATGTATTTAATATATTTCAAATATTTTGAAATTTTAATTGAACAATCAATTTATAGCCTTACAGGAATAGATCTGAATAGTAATGACAATTTACTGAAAATGAACTCACCCTCCGGCCACCCATCAGAACAGATTTGGAGAAATGTTACATCACTTGCTCTCCAGTCGATCCTCTGCAGTGAATGGGTGCCGTCAGAATGAGAGTCCAACCAACTGATAAAACATCACAATAATCCACTAGTAATCCACATGACTCCAGTCCATCAATTAACATCTTTTGGAGTGAAATGACGTGTGTTTGTAACAAACAAATTCATCATTAAGATGTTTTTAACTACTGTACAAACCTCTGTCCATCCTTTATCCATTATATTGTTTTCTCTAGTGAAAACGTTTTGTCATGTATGAATCAGGAAAAAAAAGTATGCACAGATCAAGCACTGCTTGCAAGCAAAAACAGTCCAAAATAGTTCTGAACAAATACGGTGGATATTAATGTGCGAGGACAACAGATGATGGACCTTTTCACTGGAGGAAATTTTTTATTATGGACATATTTTGGCCAGAAGCAAAGTTAAACTGCCTTGATGACAGATTTGTTTCTTACAAATATTATGCTTTTAAGTTCACAAGACGTTAATTGATGGACTGGAGTCTTGCGGATTACTTGTGGATTATAGTGATGTTTTTATCAGCTGTTTGGACACTCATTCTGACGGCACCCATTCACTGCAGAGGATCCATTGATGATCATGTGATGTAATGCTAAATTTCTCCAAATCTGTTCCGAGGAACAAACAAACTACATCTTGGTTGGTCTGAGGCTGAGTGCATTTTCAGAATATTTTGGGTGTACTTGAATATTACATTTGTATGTTCATTTAATACCTGCTAACAATAAAACAATGGCTTATTTAAATCACACACAAATTTATAGAGTGAACAAAAGAGGTTTACATACAGAAAATCAGAGAAATGAATGAAGAGGTGTAATAAACGAAGCGAGAGAATCAGTAGTTGTGAGGACAAGTGTTGGTGTCATTGCGATGGGGCAGATATCCTCATCAGACTGTTCATTTATTCTGAGTTGACTTCTGCTCTGGGCTTTGAGGCAATGCTCTGAAGAGCAGATCCATTGTACCAATAGTGCACTGGGGTTACAGATGTCTACTTTACAGTCAGACTGACGTCACCATCCAATGAACCATCAAACATCATATTTAGTGCTTTGTGTAGGAGCATACATGACTGAATATGATCATTACAGCCGCCTACATGCATTTATATTCAAAAGACATTATTTTTGACTCATGCTAAAATTCAACTCCTACACTTTAAAAAGCGAAATGTCTGTTAAATGAACGCCCTGGCCGTGGAGGTTGTTTTAAACCCTGCCAATGTGAACAATTCTCTACAATTAGATGATTGCACTCGGTTTTGAATTTGAGCGAAATAAACAAAACAAGCTAAAAAATACCAGACTTATCACTAGAAGACAGAGGCATTTGTATATTTTCTCTTAGAAATAAAATAAAAAAAATTTAAATGAATTAATATTGAGTAATTTTAAGATAACTAGGAATGATTTTATTCAATGGTAAAATCAGTGCGATCACAAAATGTTAATTTTTCATTAATAACTTCACTAAACATGAGGTCAGGACACATTAGCCTATGAACACAATGTTGGTGGTGTGAAGCAAATGAGAAGCAATTAAAGATGTGCTGAGAATATCAAATGTAATGGAATATAAAGGAGGAACCACCCAAAAAACTTTCTTGGCTTCACACACTTGCATTTGTGATTTACGGGGACTCTCCATAGGCGTAATGGTTTTTATACTGTACAAAATGTATTTTCTATCGCCCTACACTAACCCTACACCTAAACCTACCCTTTACAGAAAACTACTGGCAATTTTTGAATTTCATAAAACACCGTTTTGTATGTTTTTTAAGCCTTACCCAACATACAGTATATAAAGGAATATGTGAAGATTTCTATAGTGAGTCATTAGGTTTAGCCTTGAAATTCAAAGACAGAAACTCAATAATTCTGCACTTCAATAATAGAATAATGGTATACTGGATTCTCAATAACGCCATTAATTTCCTCCAGAGAACAACAGACTGTAGTGCCATCAGGAGAATGAATCAGCAGTCGTACTTTTGTGTTTAAAGGCATGAAGAAGTGCCAGCACCTCATTCTGCTTTATCTTTCTATGCTCAGTTCTTGAGAAGAGTGTTTCCCAGAATACTCATGTGTGACTAGTTTGTAAAAAAGACTACTAGAGTTGATTATAATAATAGTTTTAGTGTTTTGAATTACTCTTATTTATTATTATTATTAATACAGACTGAGCAGTTAACATGAACAACTACTGTATGTGATCCAGAGACCCCCCCCAAATAAAGGCTAAGTCTTTGACACTTGGTATAAGGAACTGACATTTAAGACAAATTAGCTAATTTGAAACTCAAATTAGATATTAACTGCTGGATTCAGATGATTGCGTCAGAACTTTAGAAGCAGATCAGCCCTATTTACGAAAGAACGATACTTCAATTGATTTTGTGAACTGTATCAATTGATTCGCTGCAAATACCTGGTTCATGAACTGGTCCTGGCAATTTTGCTCATCCACTCTAATGAACACGACAAGAAGAAATAGGTCAGATGTCCAGATTTTCAGTCAATATTTACTTACATTTTAGGCTATTCCTTAAAGATTGGGAAAATAACAGAGTTAATATGAATCATTATGCTTCTGAGGTTCAATAAGGACACAAAAGTCTCCAGTCATTGTGCATTCATGGAAAACAACCAGTACCATTTATTTTTTGAAGATTCCTTTTGTCTTCCACAGAATAATAATAATAATAAAAAAGTAATACTGGTTTGGAACGAAATGCTGTTAAATCATGACAGAATTTTCATTTCTGGGTCAACTATCTCTTTAATGTCAGTTAAAGTTTCTACAATTTGCCATGTCCCACATAAAATCCACCTGTAAGATGTCAAAATGTGCATAACTAGAGCTC